GCATTACAAATTAAGGATGCAACATATTTATATCTTGTGTTATATATCAACGGAGAGAAGATTATTTTATAGTTCCTTAGACCCTCGTTTTAGATAACCTGAGTGGGTTTTGTATTTATTTATTTGTTTATTACCCATGTTTAGTGAGTAGTAGGCGTAGGTAAGCTTTGATATTACTGAATGTATGAGGCCATAACATAAAAATCACATAAGGTAATATTGGGAGCTTAGACAGGTTGTTATATGATATAATACGGTTATCTGTTATTTAGCATTAGACTAGATGTTCAATATATTCTTTATTTGTGTTTATTATTTATAGTGAAAAGGGAAAAAAATGGAAATACATATTTTCATTTCTATGTTCAGTTTGTTCATTGATAAAGTGTGTGTGTGTGTGTATGGGTGGTTGGTTCGGTTTAACGTCACGAAACTCCTTTTTTTTTGCGTGTGTATATAGTATGTTTATTTTTTTTTTATAACAACAGGTGCTTGAATCATGTGAGGGCGAGAGGCCAGACGAGGTCACCATAGAAGTCAGCCATGAGGTCACCAGCACAGACACGGATAGCGGGATGTCAGGTCAGTTGTCCAGCTGAGTTTCTCTACTTTAACATCCATCCCGTTGGTTTGGTTTTACAAGCGCTTGTTTATGCAATGATGTGCGTGATTGTAGTGTCTGTACACGGTTGCAAGCATCATTTAAACTTTGGCAAATCAAATTAAACATGGTCGCCAACGTCAGGCTCTGATATGGCGCAGAAAGAAGAAGAAATGACGTAACGTAGATCCAGTAAAACACGTCTTTTTTACCATCGTCTCGTCCGGTGTCTGCAGGCGGCGCGAAGGAGAGCCGAAGAGGGCGGCTCAAGAGAGGAGAGCTGAGCGAGGGCGGGTCAGAGGGCAGCGAGGAGAGGTCACTCACCCCCCCGCGGAGGTCATCGTCGCGGCGCCCACCTACCGTCAGTCCAGACCAAGGCGTGGTCACGGACGACTCCTGGGCCCAAGCGGCTGCCGGGGACGGGCCGCCCTTGCAGTTTAAGGTTGGTGGATAGTGGATCGGTTGGTGTCGGTTTCGGATATTCGGGTTGGATTTTAGATGCTAGTGTGGTTAGTGAATAACCACTTTTTTGGACATATTATTATTTAGACATATTTTTTTTTTGCTTCACTGCAGATAGGTTATTATCTGAAACCTTAATTTCACGTTAGTTAATCTCTCACGAACTCTAATAAAATAACAAACTACATTATCATCCCTATTCCATTTATCTAAATCTATATTTTGCATACAGAATATCCACATCTTTGACAAACATAAAGCATTGCCTCACCAATACCAATATCCCCGCCTCACCCTCTCTCCCCCCCCCCAGATCGAGGAGCACGTCGAGGAGATCACGACCCACCACCTGACGGACGACGACCACGACCTGGACGACTTGGACGACGAGGAAGTGAGCGACTCCGGCGGGTCGTGGCGGGGGTCCCGGTGCTCTCTGGACGACTCGAGGGAGAGGCGGCGGCGCGAGAGAGTGACCCGCACCGCCACCGTAGCCGAAGACGCCCTCCTGCCGTCGCTCAACATCCCGCTGCCGGATCCGTCGCACCTCGCCTCCAGAAGGGTGTCTTTCCCCGAGCTCGGCGCCGATATCGTCCATGGTGCGCTCGAGTTTTTTTCTGTTTAGCTTTTCTTTTTTGTTATATTTTCTTTCCTACTTATGTCTTTTCTCTTATGTTATCTTTTCTTTCTTTTTATGTTACGTTTTCTTTTTAATCTTTATCTTTTCTTTTATGTTATCTTTTCTTTTTTTCTTTATCTTTTCTTTTATGTTATCTTTTCTTTCTTATTATGTTGTGTTTTCTTTCTTTATCTTTATCTTTTCTTTTTTATCTCTATCTTTTCTTTTATGTTATATTTTATTTCTTTTTATATTGTGTTTTCTTTTTTATATTTAGCTTTTCCTTCTTCTTATGTTAAGTTTTCTTTTTTATCTTTATCTTTATCTTTTCTTTTATGTTATCTCTTCTTTCTTATTATGTTATGTTTTCTTTTTTTATCTTTATCTTTTCTTTTATGTTATGTTTTCTTTTTTTTTTCTTTATCTTTTCTTTTATGTTATCTTTTCTTTCTCATCATGTTACGTTTTCTTTTTTATCTTTATCTTTTCTTTCTTTTATGTTATCAGTTTATTCGTCTTGTGTTTATCTGTTTATTCCTTTGTCTATGTATCTAGTTATTGGCATACTCTTGGCTGTTGTTTTTATTTATGCCATAGAGGTCTCGGTTCACATTTACGGTAAATTTTGGAGATGTTTATGTTATACATTTCTTTATATAAAGTTTGGAAGAGAGGGAGAGGAAAAAAAAGCAGTTCTTTCTTTTTTTGATATCACGTTTATCTAGTAATCTTACTACACATAAAAAAATAAAAATCATAACTAGTATCTCCCCAATGTAATAATAGTAATGATAAGCACAATAAACCTAATAAAGTTAGATAAACAAGACAACAAAACTGAATAAACAGCCAAGGAAAGAATAGAACACAAACAATAAATAAACAAGGAAAGTACAGAACACAAATAACACCCACGAAACTGACTCAATTCCCAGCTGACCCCCCCCCCCCCCATTCCAGATTCCTGCTCGGACACGGACTGCTGCCAGGTGGAGCCCGGCGACATGGTGATGGACAACGACACTTGGGAGGAGAACTGGCTCTTCAGGCGCCAGCGACTGGTACCTGGAGGAGGCGCAGGAGGAGGCTTGGCGGCCATTCACGACGCCGTTACGATGCTCATACCCAACCCGGAGGCTCATGTGCTGCCCACGGTCGGGAACAGGTCGGTGCCCATAGGAGGGTAGGGTGAAGGGGTAGGGTGGAGGGGTAGGGGGGGAGAGGGTGTTCCTGGAGATTTCTTTCGGGATTTTCTTTATGTCTTGGGAGATTTTTGAAGGAGAGGAGGAGGCGATGGGAGATTTCTTAGGGATTTCTTTTAGATTTCTTGGGAGATTTTTGAAGGAGGGGGGAGGGTGATTTATTAAAGATTTATTGAGATATCTCTGATTCTTGAATGTTTCTTTATTTCCTGGAGATTTCTTGATTTCCTGGGAGATTTATTAGGGATTTCTTTTAGATCTCTTCATTTCTTGGAGATTTCATGGGGATTTTTTTCTGGTGTTTTCCTGTGTATTTCTTAAAGAGTTCACAGTGATTTAAACAGGACAACACGGAACAAAGTCAACTAACCAGAGCTAACCACTTTCTTAAACAATATTCTAACAACTGAACAACACAGAACAATTAACTACTTCCTTAAACAATATTCTAACGACAGAACAACACGACATAAAGCCAACTAACCACAACTAACCATTTAAAGAATATTCTAACGATAGGCCAGTACGGAAAAAAGCCAACTAACCACAACCAGCCCCTTTCTTAAACAATGTTCTAACGACAGAACAACACAGAACAAAGTCAACTAACCACAACCAACCCCCTTTCTTAAACAATGTTCTAACGACAGAACAACACAGAACAAAGTCAACTAACCACAACCAACCACTTTCTTAAGCAATATTCTAACGAAGAACAACACAGAACAATTAACTGCTTTCTTAAACAATATCCTGACGACAGAACAACACGGCACAAAGCCAACTAACCACAACTAACCACTAAAAGAATATTCTAACAATAAAAGAACACATAACAATTAACTACTTTCTTAAGCAATATCCTGACGACAGAACAACGTAGAACAAAGCCAACTAACCACAACCAACCCCTTTCTTAAACAATGTTCTAACGACAGAACAACACAGAACATTTACCTATTTTCTTAAGCAATATTCTGACGACAGGACAACGCGGAACACAGCCAACTAACCACAACCAACTACCCTCAGGGACGTCGACGAGCTTTCGGAGTTGTCCGAGCAGCACTCCCTGGGGTCCGGAGAGCCCTGGAGTACGAGCGAGAGCGAGGGCGAGGGCGAGGGCGAGGGCGAGGACAGCTTCCTCCAGCAGAAGGCGTCGAAGGAACTCTCCGCTCTGGCAGGTCGGTGGTGACTTGTTTTTGTTTTTGTTTTGCGTCGGGTTTTTGTTCCTAGTTTCTGTGGTGTCTGTTTTAAGCTGAGTGGATGGGATTTTTTAAATGTCTGGGTATGTATGTTTGATTTTTTTTTTTTTTTTTGATAGAGAGGGAAAAAGAGAGAGAGAGAGGGAGAGAGAGAGAGAGAGAGAGAGAGAGAGAGAGAGAGAGAGAGAGAGAGAGAGAGAGAGAGAGAGAGAGAGAGAGAGAGAGAGAGAGAGAGAAAGTTGTCGTATAAAATATAAACCATGCCTGTGGATTCCAATCCCCACAGGTACCTCTCAACTAATCTCTTTTCAAAAATGTCCCCGAAACAACTAAATCAAGACCCTTTCTCCCCCACCAGGAGAGATCGTCGCCGAGTTCGGACAGAAGGACCAGGAATACACCGTCGACTACAGCGTCCCCAGCCGCGTCGCCAGGAGCTCGGGGGGCGTGACGTCACCTCCCCACGCCCCCTCGCACCGCCTTCCCCCCGGCGATTCCCCCACACGGGCGTCACACCCTCAGTACGTGGACAGGGGTCGCAGGGAAGATCCGAGGGGCTTCGGCCAAGGGGAGCTCGAGGACGTCGAGAGAGGCTCTGGGAGGTATGCCTCGCCCAGGAGTGACAGTGACGGACGCTGGGACGCGGAGAGACCTGTGCCAAAGCCGAGGTGCGTCAGGGGGATTTTTTTTTTCTTTTGAGAGTGGGGAGGGGTTGTTTTTTTAGTTGGCTAGCTTACGTGTTGATTATCTCTTATCTCTGTCTTTCCGTTTTTGTCTGGCTGTCTGTTTGTGTTTCTGTTTCTCTCCCTCTGTCTCCGCTTCTGCTCTCTCTCTCTCTCTCTCTCTCTCTCTCTCTCTCTCTCTCTCTCTCTCTCTCTCTCTCTCTCTCTCTCTCTCTCTCTCTCTCTCTCTCTCTCTTTCTCTCTCTCTCTCTATCTATCTATCTATCTCTCTATATCTCTATCTATCTATCTATCTATCTATCTCTCTATCTCTATCTATCTATCTATCTATCTATCTATCTATCTATCTATCTATCTATCTCTATCTCTCTCTCTCTGTCTATCTATCTATCTCTATCTCTCTCTGTCTCTCTTTCTGATTCTGCAGCAGCACTGACATGGGGATGAAAAACAAATATTACGGAACATTGCAAAGTAAATATATTTACTACTGTTTTTTGGTCGAATCTGTATCTGGTGTTTCAATAACCGTAACACCATTTTATGTACTCGATTTAGTTATCTTGTTTACATATTCATTCTTTTTGCTGTTTTGGATGTACGTATTTATTAATTAATTTGTATACCTATTCATTCGTCCATGTGTAAACCTATTGACCTGTCTACATACATCCATTATTACATATATTATTTATTCATTTATCTACTAATATCCATGCATCGCTTCCTCCTTCTCCCTTGCAGAAAACTCTCTCTGGCCACTCCATCCCCAGCCAAGCACTCAGCCAAGTCCCCGGCGCAGTATCTCCCTTCCCCCTCAGAGGACTTGAGTATCTTAAGTCCCCCCCTCGAAGTTCCTAGCCCCAAAGTGGCCCTGCCCTCGAGTGACACCGTGTGGTTCGTGGCTGGCCCTGAAGACTGCGCGGTGACTCAGGGCCGCACGCTCCGGCTCGTGTGTCAGGTCAACACGAAGAGACCGATGGGTAAGTTGTTAGTTTGTGGTGTTTTTGTTGTATTTATTCATTCATTCATTTGTTTAGGGGGGTGTTTTCCATGTTTTGTGTTGTATTTTGTATGTGAGACTTCCTCGCCAGTGCATGTTACTACACACCTAGAATAAATACGACTAAGTGCAGGGAAAATACATTTATATAGGAAAGTAATAAAGGCTACGGTAACATTGATAACAATAACTGTATAGAAATTATCAATAGATTCTCCTCAATAATAACAATAATTTAATAGTTAGTATCAAGAGATGCGCTTCAATACAACAATAATTATATAGACGCCCATAGATTCTCTTCGAAGCCGACAGCACAGACCCCCAAGCGACCCCATCAACTCACCCCGACTTTTCTCCCCCACCCCCACCCCAGGCCTCAGCTGGTACCACAACGGCGCCCTCATTCCCTCTGGCGGCCGAGATCACTGGCAGTGGCGTCGAGGCTCCTACCACCATCTCCACGTGTTCGCCACCACCCACGACACGGCCGGGGTGTATGCTGCGGCTGCCTACACTGCCAATGCCTGCGTCTGGGCCTTCTGCAGGGTGCACCACAAGTGTAAGTGTTTGGGGAGGGTGAGGGACGGGAGGGAAGGAAGAGGGGGACGGGGAGAAAGTGGAGGGGGGGGTAAGGGAAGGTGGGTATGAGGGAAGGGAGGGAAGAGGGGTAAGAGAAAATGAAGGAGGGAGAAGAGGGAAGAAAGGGTGGAGAAGCAGACGTGTTAATGGGATTTATTTTTTATTGTGATTTAGAATTGCATGAAGGAATTGTGGGGGGGGGGGGAAATATTGATCGCAGGAGTGTACGTAATAATGAATTATCACTAATCGACAAGTTAGATCACCATTTATTTTTCAACATTTTGCCAAAAATCTTGTTAATTTAAATTTACAAATATTACATTTACCAACAGAAATATCCATCATCTGCTTTCAATTTTTAATATTTTTTTTCTCTCTCGTGTCCTCTTGACCACAGCCTCGTCTCGGCCTCAGAAGCGCCCCTCGTTCACCAAGGGCCTGTCTGACGTGGTCGCTGAAGAAGGAAGCGAGGTGACCCTTCAGTGCCAGGTCACAGGTCATCCCGAATCCCGCGTGACCTTCTCGCGAGGGTCAGAGAGACTTGAAGCCTCGTCGAAGGTCTTCATTGGTAAGTGAAGATTTTTTTTTCGTTTTCTGTGTGTGTGTGTGTGTGTGTGTGTGTGTGTGTGTGTGTGTGTGTGTGTGTGTGTGTGTGTGTGTGTGTGTGTGTGTGTGTGTGTGTGTGTGTATGCGTGTGTGTGTGTGTGTGTGTGTGTGTGTATGTGTATGTGTGTGTGTGTGTGTGTGTATGTGTGTGTGTGTGTGTGTGTGTGTGTGTGTGTGTGTATGTATGTGTGGAAACTATTTTTTATTTTTTATGTTTAGTATTTGAATTACCTCGAACACAATCTTGGAAGATACATTGCATAAAACAGTGAAGATCCTCGCCCCACCTCATAAGTATAAGAAAAAATAAATAAAAAGAATGATTCAAAATTCTAAAATGATTTCTCCCCCCCCCCCCCCCGACAGAGAGTGACCAATACGGCACATGGACAGTAAAGTTGTCCGAATGCGCGCAACACGACAGCGGGGAGGTCGTAGCCAGTGCCAGCAACTTCATGGGCACAGTTACATCCCGGTGCCACGTCAGAATAGTGCCAGAGGGAACGCCCATACCCAGAGACGAAATGGACTCTCGTCGCTCTCTCTCGTCTTCGTCTAAGGTCGGTTTTAACGTGGTAACTGAAGGGGATCTTCGTCCATATGTGTGTATGTGATTTTTTTCTTTTTTTACAATGTCTCTCGCTTTTGCTGAGAGGAAGTGAATATTTCACCTCCTTTTTGTATATTCTTAGTGTGTTTCTTATATATTTCTTGGTCCAGAGTATGTATAGCCGGGAAGAACATTTCCGAGGAGTTATAAGGTATATTAAACACACACGCAACTTTGCTTAGATTTCAGTTCCCTCGAAGTGATATCGAGGGTGCCATCCCCAACCCCCACATAATAGAAATTTAGGTTCTTCAAATTTGAACAAATGTCCAAAAGAGTGAGAGTAAAGGATTTCAAAGCGAACCGAGGAATTGATCCATTTCTATATGTACACAATTTTTTTTCAACATTTATCTCATCAGATTCGATGATCAGTGTCTATTACACCGAAAATCCATTTGAAACTATCGAAATCAAACCACTCGAATAAATAAATAATGAAACTAATGATAAGATTAAAGCATAAGATTTAGGAAAAACGTAAAGTACAACAAATATTACCAACTCTCACTAGCACCAAATCTCCAACCTCAACACCCAAAACACACGTAGCCAACCCACTTTCTGACGGCGTATCTCACCCGCCGCGTAGGGTAACACTGCCCGCCGCTCGAGCCACTTCCTCAGCTACCTGTGCTCCTGTTGGGTACGTCCTCGGATCGATGACTCTACCCCGCTCCTGCCGCAGAGCTGAGGATCCTGGTGGGGACAGGCAGAGAGACCTTCTACCGGAGTTACTGTGTAATCGTGGTTACTCTGTTCTCCGTTCCTTTCTGTTGGCGACGATTTCGTTTACATTTATTTTTCTCTTTTTCTTTTTTTCCAGTTCGTTGAGTCTCTTGTCTGTCTGTCTTATCCTCTTTGTTTTGTTTTTTTATTATTATTTTCTGAGGATATTTTCGCGTTTTTTTTATAGTTTTTTTTCTGGCGATGTTTTTTTTTCATAATGTTTTTGGAAAATATGTTTCTTTGTGAAATTTTCCGCCTATCGTTATTTTCCCAGGGACAGTTTCCACGGATTTTTTTTCATCTCCGCACATTTATTTACTTATTTTTCTTGTTTCCTTTTCACATAGGTGGATGTTTTTGGACGATGCTTCCGGTCCATCGTGGCGCCTCTTTCTTTGTCTGCTTTTACTTGTTTCTTTTGTTTGCAGGACCATTTTATTTGCACTTTTACTTGACTTTTTTGCAGGGTCACTTTCTTTTGTTTATTTGCAGAGAGCACCTTCTTGTGTTTCTTTTTTGCTGATTTTCTGTTGATGATGTATGTGCTTTGTCTGACACACTGTATGTGTATTACCCATATGTTGTTGTTATTACTGTTATCATTATCATTATTATTATTGTTATTATTATTATTATTATTATTATTATTATTATTATTTTATCATCATCATTATTATTATTATTATTATTATTATTATTACTATTATTATTATCATTATTGATACTATTACTGTTATTTCCATTCCTATTGTAATTATTGTTTTGTTTTCATTATTATTGCTATCGAAATTTAGGTAATGATTTAAACTTTATTCCTTAGCATGCATGTTTCAATATAGACAAACCTATTATCATCGATATATAAAAGGAGGAATCGAGCAAATGAACACAGTGGTAACATACAGCCACGCCCTCCGAGGCCCGATCCTCACTGCGAGTCCTTCCCTCCCTCAGGCCGACCACCCCAGCGCCCCGGGCAGAAGGCACGGTTCCCACAAAGCCAGGTCCTCAGGCCAGGCCACGACCAGCAACAAGCACTCAGCACCAGCTTCAGCAAACACGTCGCCCCACCGAGTCCCACAGGATCCGCTGACCACCTCCTCGGGCGTGACCACAGACGCAGACGACCTGGACGAGATCCTGCAGGTGCCCACGAAACCAGGTAGACGCCCTAAGACGCGTGGATCCGCGTGTCCGAGTGCAGTAGACACACAGCATGAGTCCAGGGCTGACGGCGCCTCGGCAGAGCGGGACAGGCGAGATCTCGTTAGACTGGCTTTGGCGAGGCTTGACAGTGAAGATGATCATGACGAGGATGAGGATAGTGATGACGGTGTTTCCGGTCGGGGGGTGCATGGCAGGAGGGTGACTTTGGGTCCTCTAGGTTCTTCCGGTATGATTGAGGGTGAGGGTGGGTGCGATAGGGAGGATGACGGTGGCGGTGCTGAGGAAACCGACTTTCTCCCTAAGGGTCTCTCCGCTAGCCAGGAGCCTTCCTCGCCGCTGTGCCAGGAGGCTCGCAACGCCGCCTTCACTGGGCTAGAATCCTCGCTAGTCTCCCCTCAAGGCGCTCTTACTCTCGACCTTGACTATTGCCCTTCGAGTCACGACGACGATTCCTCCTCTTCCTCCTCCTCCTCCTCTTCAGACGAGGACGTCCCAGCCCTTCCTAGGAACCCCCCACCGCTAGGCCCC